GGAAGTGATCGAGCGAGGGAACCGTGGTTTACTAAAGAAGTTGAATCTCTTGTCAAGAGGAAGAAGGAGGCTTGTGTAGAGATGAGGCGTGAAGGCTCAATTAGGGTGCTTGAGAGTTGCAAGTTAGCCAAGAAGGACCTAAAGAGAGAGCTAAGAAGAGCCAGGAGGGGACATGAGAAGTCTTTAGCAGGTAGGATCAAGGAAAACCCTAAAGCTTTCTATAGGTATGTCAGGAATAAAAGAATGACTAGAGTAAGATTAGGGCCGGTCAAGGACAGTAGTGGGAAGTTGTGCGTGGAGTCCGAAGAGATAGGAGAGGCGCTAAATGCATATTTTTCGTCAGTATTCACACAGGAAAAAGACAATGTTGTCGAGGAGAATACTGAGATACAGGCTATTAGACTAGACGGGATTGAGGTTCATAAGGAGGAGGTGTTAGCAATTCTGGAAGGCGTGAAAATAAATAAGTCCCCTGGGCCAGATGGGATTTATCCTAGGATTCTCTGGGAAGCTAGAGAGGAGATTGCAGAGCCTTTGGCTTTGATCTTTATGTCGTCATTGTCTACAGGAATAGTGCCAGAAGACTGGAGACTAGCAAATGTTGTCCCCTTGTTCAAGAAGGGGAGTAGGGACAACCCTGGTAATTATAGACCAGTGAGCCTTACTTCGGTTGTGGGTAAAGTGTTGGAAAGGATTATAAGAGACAGGATTTATAATCATCTGGAAAGGAATAATTTGATTAGGGATAGTCAACACGGTTTTGTGAAGGGTAGGTCGTGCCTCACAAACCTTATTGAGTTCTTTGAGAAGGTGACCAAACAGGTGGATGAGGGTAAAGCGGTTGATGTGGTGTATATGGATTTCAGTTTGATAAGGTTCCCCACGGTAGGCTATTGCAGAAAATATGGAGGCATGGGATTGAGGGTGATTTAGCGGTTTGGATCAGAAATTGACTAGCTGTAAGAAGACAGAGGGTGGTGGTTGATCAGAAATGTTCATCCTGGAGTTCAGTTACTAGTGGTGTACCTCAAGGATCTGTTGTGGGGCCACTGCTGTTTGTCATTTTTACAAATGACCTGGATGAGGGCGTAGAAGGATGGGTTAGTAAATTTGCGGATGACACCAAAGTCGGTGGAGTTGTGGATAGTGCGGAAGGATGTTGCAGGTTACAGAGGGACATAGATAAGCTGCAGAGCTGGGCTGAGAGGTGGCAAATGAAGTTTAATGCGGAAAAGTGTGAGGCGATTCACTTTGGAAGGAGTAACAGGAATACAGAGTACTGGGCTAATGGTAAGATTCTTGGTAGTGTGGATGAACAGAGAGATCTCGGTGTCCATGTGCATAGATTCCTGAAACTTGCCACCTCGGTTGATAGGGTTGTTAAGAAGGCGTACGGTTTGTTAGGTTTTATTGGTAGAGGGATTGAGTTTCGGAGCCATGAGGTCATGTTGCAGCTGCACAAAACTCTGGTGCGGCCGCACTTGGAGTATTGCGTACAGTTCTGGTCACTGCATTATAGGAAGGATGTGGAAGCATTGGAAAGGGTGCAGAGGAGATTTACCAGCATGTTGCCTGGTATGGAGGGAAGGTCTCATGAGGAAAGGCGGAGGGACTTGAGGCTGTTTTCATTAGAGAGAAGAAGGTTAAGAGGTGACTTAATAGAGACATACAAGATGATCAAAGGATTAGATAGGGTGGACAGTGGGAGCCTTTTTCCTCGGATGGTGGTGGCTAGCACAAGGGGACATAGCTTTAAATTGAGGGGTGATAGATATAGGACAGATGTCAGAGGTAGGTTCTTTACTCAGAGTAGTAAGGACGTGGAATGCCCTGCCTGCAAAAGTAGTAGACTCGCCAACTTTAAGGGCGTTTAAATGGTCATTGGATAAACATATGGATGATAATGGAATAGATGGGCTTCAGATTGGTTTCACAGGTCGGCGCAACATCTGCTGTAATGTTCTATGTTCTATGTTCTAAATCCAAACTTTCAGAATCACCAACAAAATACCCACCAAAATCAGACTCAGGTCTATAGTTCCCAGGATTCTCCCGATATCCCTTTTTAAAAGGCCTAACATTAGCTTGTCTCCAGTCCTCTGGCACCTCACCTGTAGTTATAGGTGTTACAAATATTTCTCTAACTTCCCACAATGTCCTGGGATATACTAGATCAAGTCCCAGAGAAGGTCAAGTTTTGCTCCTTCCTTAGTAGGAACATTTACATATTGATAAAGAAAATTTTCTTGAATACATTTAACAAACTTATCGCCATCCAAACCTTAACACTGTGGTAGTCCCAGTCAATATTTGGGAAATAAAAATCACCTATTACAACCTTACGATTCATACATATATCTGAGATCTCTCTACGTATTTGTTTGTCAATTTCCCTCTAACTATTGGCAGGCAGGGGGTTGGGTGGGGGGGCTACAGTGCAATCCCATCAAGGTTATCATTCCTGTTTTATTGCTAATTTCAAACCATAAATTTTCACTGGACAATTTCTCTCGTTACAGCAGCAATTTTTTCCCGAATCAAAAACACCACTCTCCCTCCTCTTTTGCCTCTCTTCCTGTGCTTCCTACAGCATCTGAAACCTGCAACACTGAACTGCCAGTCCTGTCCATCTCTCAGCCAAGTTTCTGTAATAGCTGTGAAGTCCCAGTCCCATGTTCCCAAACATTCCCTGACTTCATCAGCCTTATCTGCAAGGCCCCTTTCATTGAAATAAATGTAGTTTAGTTCTTCAGCGTTACTTTTCAATTTTTGCTGAGGGAAGATCCAATTTTTCTGTTACATTTTTCTATTACATTTTTTTATATAAATATTTCAATACACAGAAGAACTGGCATTTATAAAGGGCAAAAAGTTCCTTTTCACTCCAACAACCCTGGGAATAATTGCTCAATATCCAATGTGGGTCCATAATATATTCCATGTTGATGGAATAGCAAGAAATTGGGAGCTGCTCCTTAGGTTTTACATTATGTGAATACTTCTTAACAGAAGATGAGCAAAAGACTAAATGATTTTAGGTGCATACTTGACTTGTATATTTGGAATCCATATATCATGTTCATGTGGCAAATTTAAGCCACCCAGCTTAGTTGAAAAGGCAGCATTCATTTGTCAAACAGTTAAAATAAAGTTTCATGTTCAGTAAGTAATTTTCCACCTTAGAGAAGTTGCATGAATTTACATAGGGAAAAAAAGACTTTAGATACAAACTGAAAGAGAAATACAAATGTACATTAGATTGGTTACCAATTACCAAGGAAGGTGGCATTAAGTAATTTATTGGAACTGCAAGCTGACCATGCCCTAGGTCCTGATGGATTTCATCCCAGGATCTTAAAAGAAGTAACTAATGAGATAATTAATGTGTTACTTTTATTTTTCCAAAGCTCATTAGATTCAGGAAGGTCCTTTAGATTGCAAAACAAAATGTAACCTCCTTTATTCAAAAATGGATGGAAGCAGAAATCAGGAGATGATAGGCCAGTTAACATTGTCATAGGGAAAACATTTGAAGCTATTATTAAAGACGTTATAACAGAGCACTTGGATAAGTTCAAGGTAACAAAACAGAGCTAACAGATTTGTCAAAGTTAAATCAGGTTTTACTAATATGGTGGAGTTCTTTGAAGTAATAACATAGGCTCTGGATAAAAGAGAACCAGTGGATGTGTTGTACTTAGATTTTCAGAAGGGATTTTATGAAGAACCTCAAAGGTTATTGAGGAAAATAGAAACTAAGTTGGGATCAACATATTGTCATGGATAGAAGATTGCTTCCTATTCGTAAGCCAATAAATGTATTCTTTTGGGACGGGCAGGATGTCACAAGTGATGTGCCACAGGGATCAATACTGGAGCCTCAACTCTTTACTATAATATATATAAATGATTTGAAGGAAGGGATCAAAGGTACTGTAGCTAACTTGGTAGATTTCACAGTCCTCTTCACAATTCACTTTCCTACCTATCGTAGTGTCATCATTAAAGGGTTGCAGATAGATTAGGTGAGCAGGTAAAAAGCTGGCAAAATGTAGTGTAATGTGGCAAAGTGTGAAATTGACAATTTTGGCAGAAAGAATTAAAAAAAAGCATGTTATTTAAAAGATGAGAGGTTGCAGAGCTCCGAGATGCAGAAAGATCCAGGTGTCCCAGTGCATGAATCATGGAAGGTTAGGAGGTAGGCACAAGTAATTAAATGTTTTTTTTTGAGGGGCGATGAATGCAAGAATAGAGGGGTAATGGTACAGTTATGTAAGGTATTGGTGAGATCACATCTGGAGTACTGTGCAGCGTGCCGGTCACTGTTCTTACAGAAGGATGTTAATGCATTAGAAGCACTTCTGAGAAACTTTGCTAAACTACTATCTGGAATGAATGAATTGCCTTAAACTATGGCATTTAGAAGAGTCAGAGGTGACTAAATTGAAACATACAAGATCCTGAGGGGTCATGACCAGGCAGGTGTGGAAAGTATATTTCCTCTTGTGGGAGGATGCAGAAGAACAGTCACAGTTTAAAAGTAAAGAGTCAACCATTTAAGAGAGATGATAAGAGGGGCAAGAATCTGAGGCATGAGAGTCTGGAATTCTGGAGTCTGAAAAGAGCAATGAATGTTGAATCTTAAAACTTTAAGACAAGACGGTAAATTGTTAATTATCATGGGGATGAAAGATGATTAAGGATGCGCAAGAATGTAGAGTTGAGGTTAAAATCAGATCAGTCATGATCTTATTGAATGACGGAGCAGGCAAACACCCTTTTTCCTTAGTATGTCTGTACGAAGTCAGCATTAAAACCACAGGCCCTGACTGAATGCAGATTTAATAGCTGTGTGGAGCATCTCCAATTGTTAAATCAAATTTACTTAACAGTTTTAACTAAAACAAAATGATGCATAGGTATAAGAAGAAAAACAGAAGAACTGGAAATGAGGAGTCAAGAAGTACAAAACATTAAAAAAAGAGATATACTGTACTTACGTTTTCAGAGTACCCGATGTCATCAGCTCTGTCACCAATACTATGCATTTCTTTCCCTTTAAAGTTGATTCCCAAGAGTCATAAAATCTGACTATGTTTGGATGCTGCAAGCCCTTTAACATTTCAGCTTCTTCTTTAAACCTTTGCCTTTCTGACTTGGACAACTTTCGATCCTGTTAATGATACCGGAGTGACAATTAAGGCTGTGCTGACAAGCAAATTTGTTTTTCTTAATCTACAGGCAAATTTAACTAGATCGATAATTTTTAATATTAATAGACATTAATAAGAAACAACATAGATAAGCAACGAATGCCAAACATTGAAACAACCAAACATAATTTGCAAGTTATTTTTAAAATTCATTCACGGAGTTAGCATATCGCTAGCTAGGCCAGCTTTTAATGCCCATCCCTAATTGAATTAAGAGTCAACCACATTGCTGGAGTTACCTGTAGGCTAGTTTCTTCTCTATAGGACATTAGTAAACCAGATGGGATTTTCCAACAATTGACAATAGATTCATGGTCATCATAAGACTCCTACTTCCAGATTTGTTTTCCCCCACTGAATTCAAAGTCCACTATCTGACATGGCAGGAATTCAACTCAGGTCCCCAGAACATTACTTGGGTCTCTGGATTAACAGTCCAGTGATAATACCTCTAGGACATATCCTCATCTTAACTGATGTATTAATTAAGGCATGAAAAAGGTCCAACCATGGTCAAGAAGAGCAGTTAAACAGAGTCAATAGGTCAAAGCAAGATACATCTTAAAAGGTCATGGAAATAAGGAAAAGTAAAAGAAATCAGAGTAAAATTTACAAAAGACAAAAAGAGAGCTAAATTTTATCTAGGTTCTGACATAAAAAGATTAGTGAAAGTAAACAGAAGCATGTTATAATTTTACCTTTTCTACCTCTAATGAAGTGTAAGGAAGCAGCAAATACATTAAACAAATACATTTTGTGTCTTCAAGGTAGAAGACAAAAGAAAAAAAATCCAGATTTGGGAAACGAGAAGTGAGAAGTTTAAAAAGAGCTGTCCAAGTAAACAATGCGTACAGCGGAAAATAAAGTACAGCGAAAGGTCCCGAAGGAGCTGCTCTGTCACTGGAGGACCAAGGCCCTGATGACCCATGTTCTAAAATCAGCCACTTCACAAACCATCAATGCATTAGTTTTGACTTTTGAATCTCCGTACATTGCAAAACAGTTCCCAAGGACTATAAGGTAGGAAATGTTCCATCAAATATACAAGTGAGTAAAAGAAAAAACAAAAAGAGCCAAGGCCAGTAAACCTAGTCACTCTGAGGCAAAATGCTAGAATCTATTAATAGGTCTAAGTAACAGGAAACTTAAAGCACAATATGATTAAGCTGAGTCAAGGAAGATTTATGAAAGGGAAATAGTGTTTGGCAAAACTTTTGAGGATTAAACTTTGAAAGGGAAAATGGATTTAATAAGGTCCGCACTGAGTGCAGAGAATGTGCAAAGGAGCTTTGACTAAGGGAAGTCAGTGAAAAGGGGAACTATAAATTATTAAAAATATATGTAAATCAATAAAATAAAGATGGTAGGAAAGGCCATGTGTCACCGCTGCAGCATGAGGGAGCTCAAAGCTGCCACTGTAAATTTATAGCAACCATTCTGATTTAAGTGTCTGCAGCTTGAGCTTCAACTCAAAAGATAATAAGCTGAAGGCCAAGCTGCAGATATTGTGATGCATCGGGGAGCAGGAAGTTACCTGGATACTTTATTTCATCAGTCACCTGGACACTTATTCCAGGAGGCCATCAGACTCCTTACGTTAGTGCCATTTGATTTGGTTAGGTTTCCTAAATTATAAAATCGATTATACTTCCAATTTTTTTTTCTAAAAAGCAAGGTCAAGGTAGGGTTTTTGCATTCCATGTCTTGATTTGACAATACAATCTGATGTTATAAATGAACAAGTCATAAGGAGACACAGAGAAAAGGAGATAATTAATGCTGTAAAATCAGATAACAAAATATGTGTACTTCATCCAAACCAATATACTGTAGGCACTGCTTACAAAATTGCATCTTCTATATTGGGAAAAAAAGCTTGCAGATGGGATGACAGCTTTATGTACCTGCCACAATACTACAATGGTTTTGGCCCTATGCCACTTGAATTCTCTAACTCACTTACGTGCTGACCTTTCTGCCCTTGACCACCCCACTAGTCATTTTAGTTAACTCTTTTCCAATACCAAAACTAAATATTGGTATCAAAGAAATAATTAGCACATTCATAAAGAGTGGTCAATTTTACCTTTAAGCTGGTTATATTTCGGTAAAAGGAAACAAACCATAGCTGCCTGCAACAAAATCTATTTCCAGTGTTGGTCGCCTAATGGTAGCGAGCAGGCTTTTAAAATCAACTACTTCAGTTAGTGAATATAAATCCAAAACTCCCTTTTAAACCACCATAAATTTTAGTCATAAAAGGTCATAATTAGAAAATATAATCACATTTTTCATGCTAAATTTCTGTATTGTTCTAGCATTCCATGTTTGTGTCCTATATAATAGAAACACTGCAACTGTAATTCTTCATACAAACAACTGGAAAGCTAATGAAATACCATGATACGATGGTGATCTTGCATTCAAAATCATGTCTCATTTCCCCAAAAATGGAAAAAAAAGCGCTATCATTGAAATTAACATTTCTGAACACTATTTCCTTGTGCTCAAAGCTCTACCCTAATACATATAATGAAATCTTTTTCAAGGATGACTAGGAACCAGCAATAAACACTAGCCTTGCCAGTCAAGCCCACATTGCCTGAATGATAACAAAATACAATTCATGTCAAATTATTATTGGGTTGCCTAGCATTATTCACAATCAGGTTCTTCTTCAACTTTATTTCATATTCCACCTAAAGGAGCACGAAAAAAAAAACTGAGCTTTCATCTGTACAATGTATTCTATCACTCCTTCCTTGAATAATGAAATTCCTAACTTAAAATAAAATATTTTGATAGTTCATTTTTGTTGGGAAAATTTATGCATAACATGAATACTGAAAACTGCTGAAAAAAAACTAAGCAGGTACATATGCAAATTATTTGCGACGCCGAACATAGCCAGTCAGAATGAAGTCTCTTAGACACTAATTCTTGGTTTGTCACCCTTCATTTAAGTTTTGCACTTTAATTGTACCCAGCTAAATGCCAACAAAAATGCTGTGTTTTTTGAGTCTAGTAATGAATAGTAGATCCCCAAATGATTATTAACTAAGCACACAGCGCTTAGGAGCAGGATTCAGACATTCAGCCTTTCAACCCTGCTCCACCCTACAATAAGATCATGGCTAATGTGGCTGTGGTCTCAATCCAACTTTCCTGTCTCCTGGATCAAAATTAATAGATTTTTGTCAAATAAGGATATCATGGGGTTTGCATTGATGACAGGAAAATGAGAGTTATTGTACTGATAAGCCAGAGTTCATGCAATCAACCAGAGCTCAAGATTGAGAACACAATGGTGGTTTGTGTACTAAGTTACTAAGTTGTTTGAAGGGATGGTTTTAGACACAAACAAACATTCTCCCATGTCCTTGGCAATCTTTATGCAAAGAAAGACAATACTATCTCATTAGGAGAACTTGCTTTCAGCAGATTGGGATGCTGCATTTTGTATATTAGAACAATAATTACATTCAAAAATACAGGCACATTATATTATAATAATACTGACACAATGAACTAGGAGGCTACAATGGAGCAGGCTAAAACGGGAAAGTAAGGGACAAAAGGGTGGAAGAGGAGGAAATCATTCTCACCACTGACACACCCAAGCCCCAACAACTCTTAAACACACTAACAGTCCACACTATTTTAGTTACCCCATTCCTTGAGTGTTTAGACCATGCCCCTGTCAAAGCCTCCAACAACTGACCAACCTTTACTGAGACCCTCCCCCAAAAGTAGTTCCTCCAAGTGTTTTCGATAAAGAAGCTGCCAAATTTGATTCAGCAAAGAACACTCTCCACCCCAAACACTTCTCACTCTCATTGCACATAAACATCATGAACTGAAATCACTCAGCAGACCCTTCATGTTTGTGACTATAATGCATTATCTATCTTCAACCTATCCCAAACTATGCCCTTCTAACCTGCACAAAAAATTAGCATGTAATTAGGAAGATAAGTGGAATGTTGACATTCATTGCAAGGTTGTTGGAGTATATAAATAAGGAAGGAAGTCTTTATACATGTAAAGGTCGTAGAGTCATACAGCATGCAAATAGACCCTTCAGTCCGACTCGTCCATGCCAACCAAGTTTCCCAAACTAAACTACTCCCATTTGCCTGCATTTGGCCCATCAGTCTATACCTTTCCTATTCATGCACCTGTCCAAATGTCTTTTAAATGATGTAACTGTACCTGCATCCAATACTTCCTTGTGGGCCCCGAAATGGGAAAAGGACTGTTTTATAAACCAATGATCGTAGAAGGGATTGCTACACTTTTTAAAATTAAATTACCCACACTAAGTGCTGTTAGCATTGTTGTCTGTGCAAGCAACGGTTGGGATGGGGGGTTACTGTAGATAGCTGGAGCTAGGGGATGTGTACGAAGGCAGATTTGGCCACCAACAAGTAGCTGATGGGTCTGTGGAGTGGCAACCAGTTATTGATGACAAAAGCTTTCTGCCTGCCAACATCTATGTGAAGGGTCCCTAGGTAGCCAAGCAGCTTGTCAAGAAGCCTTCAGACCTCCAGCAAAGGAGATGGAGTCTTTCTCCTCTTCTCTCCTAAAGCATGAAGAAAGCCAATTTATTTTCACCCATCAATCCCTGTAAGCTTTTGCTTATCACCAAAAATTTAGAAACTTTATAAGTTGAGAATCAGTTGTTCTCCACCTGCAGCAATTAAGTGAAAGTACATGGAGAACAGAGGTCACGTAGCAGGTTAACTTTGTGGTGCCAAAGCTTAAGTAAACATTTCGAATTTTTCCACATTTAACATAGCCTAACATCAGGACAAGTGTGATAGTACTTTTTGTCTTGTTATGATACATGTTCTAGTACCATTGCAGCACTTGTGCACAGTCCACACTTACACTTGTATGATAATTAACAGATAGCATGCTGCATTGTCAGCATTGTTTTTGAACTGAAGCTTTAAGCCAA